GGGGGTTTCCATGGGTATTATGTTGTAATTTCAAAGGAGGCAGATCATGGTTGATGCTGTCCTGATCTACGAGTTTCTAATGATATGATTGGTGAGAATGTCACTTCCATAGAAATTAAACAGTTATATATTATTTACTGAATAATCCGTATTATATAAGAGAATATATATTAGGAAAGGCTAAAAATCTTATCGTTCCATAATAAAAGTAAAATTCTAAATTATACAAAAAATTATTAAAAGCACAAAATTGTAATCTAATTAATTAACATAAAAACACGTGTTGTCCAAAAAATAAATCAACTGAAAACACTGAGTTCAAAATTTTCTATGATTAATTATTAATTTTTGAATTTTTTTTAAAATAGTTGAAATAAATTTTTGAAGGCTTAAGTGATACTCTCTCTGTTCCTAAATGTCTGTCGTTTAAGGTTGTCGTACAGGAATTAAGGAAGTTATTAAATAACTTTAATATGAGTAAAAAATAATTGCACAAGACTAAAATACCCTTATTTAATATGTATTAAAAAAGAAAAGAATATGAAAGACACTTAACTCTACCAAATCTGATGCATTGAAAAGTAAAAAGTAAATCTGGAAGAAAAAATATTAATTATGTTTTAGTTTTATTAAACGACAAATATTATAAAACAAAAAAAATTGTGTAAAAAGACAGATATTTAAGAACGGAGGAAGTAGAATTTAACCTAACACTAAAGGAGCGAAATTATGAGTCTTGATCACTGTTTTAATCTAGAGCAAACACTATTGGCCTCGATCAATTCTGAGTTTGAACTATTTTACCTTTGCAACTTTCTGCTTCAAATAATCAACAGCCGCCTGTTTACCATCAACCTATGTTTTTTTGAGTGAAGAGCAAGAGACAGAGTGTTGCAGAAGAGTTCATAGATTCTCATAGAGGTGCAATCAACAAAGACTCTTTCCTAATCGCGACACGACACAGTTTACAAGGTTATCACACGAAGATCATTGCTTTTCCTTGGTCACTATGGGTAAACTTGAATATTCACATAATTTGTATAAAGTGGTTACCCTCGTATTCGAATCCATTAATTGTTAGCCCGATTCATAAATATCGGGATAATTTTTTTGTTAAATTTAGTTGATTGTTACCTCGACATTGATTCCACTGACCGGACTGCCCTACTGTAACATTGATATACATGCTAATGGCGATTTGGCTTCACTCACGAAGTTGTCATCTCAATCCTAGAGGTTAGGCCCGGTAAAGGATGTGTTTTGAATTAGATTTTGGATGATTCAAATTTAAATTTGATTTAAAAAATTTGATCCGAATCCAATCTGACAGATTTTATTTTTTGTGGTACATATTTGAATTCGGTAACAATATGAAATTTAATCTGACCCAAATAATTTAATTAACTAATTTATAGCAAATTACCTAAATTTTAACTAATTTTTTTAAAATAATTACTTAATTTTTTAAGTATTTATATAAGAATATATAAATAATTCGGATAGGACCATAATCGAATTGAATATTGATATATACAAAATCCGAATCCGTTAAATATAATATATCGGATTCAAATTTGAGTTTGAATTAACATTAGAAAATATTAGTCCATATTCAACGAACTGAATTCAAATTTGACTGAAAAGTAAAAAATATCAATGGATCAGAATCCGATCCATCGATAAAGTTACTGAAAAGTAGCTTACGTGATAATAAAAAAGAGTTGTAATTTCAAACGTCTGGAGTTTGAATTTTGACAATTTCTTAAGAAATAAACAATGATCATGAAGAATTAATTTTTCATGAATATTCTAATCCTAACGTGAATAATTTGCCTTTAATCTAATTAAGAGAAGATTAGTCGAAGTGTGCATAAATTTACTACAATACCCTCACCAGTTAACCCAAAAAAAAAATTTGTTGTGATCTCATGATTCCCGCTACATTCGTTGGCTCAGTTAGTTATCGAGATTTGAATTTAAAAGAAAGAGTTATACTAAAACTCAACGTCTTCAGCAAAAGCTAAACCAAGCGAAGGAAGAACTCATAGCTGAGTTCCATAGTCCTCCATTTTCATGAAGCTCAAAACCCCACTTCATATCTCTCCATTTCTTTTTATTTGAATCTCTCTCTCTCTCTCTCTCTCTCTAACTATGTCATTTGCTGTGTCATTCATTACCCAGAAGCTCTCCGTGCCAACCTCATTCTTCGGCTTCAAGCTTTGGATCACAATCGCCATCTGCATTGGATTAGTCATTGTATTGGCTCTTCTCTGCATTTGCTGTTACTTCATCTCCTGTCGTCGTCGCAAACCTCCTGAAGTCCGCTATCGTAAAGCGAATCCGGCCGCCGCCTCGAAGAATTTACGTAGTAATTACAGTGCTTCTTCGCTTGATAGGAGGCTGCTGTCCAGCAATGGCTGGGACGTGGAGATGAGCATTGCCGCACCGGAGAAGAAGGCGTTGTACTCCGATCAGTGGTCGACACAAACCGGCGGGACAACTAGTAATGTGAACGATTTAGGGGCCGTTACGGTGGTTTCCGATGTATGCAGAGGAAACAGATTTACACTGAGGGATATTGAAGTAGCCACAAATGGGTTTGCTGATGACAATGTGATTGGGAGTGGGGATTATGGGATTGTTTATCGCGGTGTTCTATTGGATAATACTCGAGTTGCAGTAAAAAAATTGCCAAGTAACAGGTAAATCCTTGTTTTATATCTCTTATCATAATCTATGTGCTGTGATTGCTAAAAAAATTGAACAATTCGGTAAGATTGGCTATCCAAGAATGTAGAAGTGAGTATGGGCCGTCGGTTCGGCTGGAAAAAATTAAATAATACAAGAGATTCAGGTGATGCTGTAGCGTTACGAAACCAAATTTTGGCATTGTAGAACGATGACTAAGATGATTCAGTTGAGCAGACCTTCATCGCTCTCAGAACAGTCTGAATGGGAAACAAGTTGGCAAGTCTTATCAGTCTTTGCCGATACTTTGAACCATAGCTTAAGAGTCCGTTGGATTGTGTGTTGCTGATAATTCCTAGTAGTATGAGTATACTTTGAACTATGGTTTGGAGTTTAGTTTGGTTATTTTGCTGATTTTTTTTTTGGTTAGGATCTCTTCCTCGATCTGGTTAAAAACAGACCATTTACGCCGAAATTAAATATTCACGGGGATAAATTTTTATAGTTTATCCTTATTATCATTTGAGTTACCTTTGATTTAAATCTTAATTGAAATAAATTATTATCAGAAAGACATAAGTTGAAAAATTATTTCCTAATGATTGTTTTAAAATAATGAACTGACTGATAAGTACATATCAGGTTTAAAGCAGAGGAATTTGTAGCAAAAGTGGAGGCTATGTGGCGAATTGGACACAAGAATCTGGTTAAATTGCTCGGATACTGTACTGAAGGAACTTACAGGTACCACTTATTTTGATGAATCTTCACACCAATGATTCAGATCCCCAGTGCTTCTAATATCCTTTTCATTTGGAATATTAGATTGCTTGTGCATGAATACATAGACAATGGCAACCTTCAGCAGTGGCTTCATAGATGCATAGGGAAAGTTAGCCTTCTAACATGGGATATGAGGATGAACATAGTCTTAGGAACTGCAAAAGGGTGTGTTACTCTCTCCCGAAAACCAGATTTTCGCCTATTCCTGCTTCATTTTTTTGCAATTAGATTTAATATTTGAAGATAATTTGTTTCTGCAGATTGGCCTATCTTCACGAGGATATCGAACCTGAGGTTCTCCATCAGCACTTAAATTCTAGCAACATACTACTTGATCGCCAATGGAATCCAAAACTCTCCGATTTTGGTATCGCCAAGCTCTTAGGTCCTGAATGGAGTCCTGCCATAGCTCATCCGATGGGAATGTCAGGGTCAGTATGTTTGTTTTAATTTAGTAATTTCTTTTCAAAACAAGAACGAGGATTGATTTGATTCTGAAGATGGACCACAAATTTTCATTCAATGCAATTATAACTGATCCTAAAGGTTAAAAAATTTAGAAAAAATATGGTTACAAACGAATCACTGATTTGGAACAACATTCTAATGGGAAAGTATGAAATTGTATCCTTTTTTCATCATTAAATGTACATAGGCAGTAGTGTACTGTTGAGCAATTTACTAGTAAGCTTTTTGGTATGGTTTTGTAGTTATATTGAACCAGAATATGAATGCACTGGTGTTGTAGACAAGAAGAGTGATGTTTATAGCTTTGGGATACTTATCATGGAGATTGTTTCTGGGAAGCCCCCGATAGAGTATAGCGAAACCGAGATTGAGGTCTATGGTCCTCCTCCTGCAACCTTCAAATGCTTCCTTTTTCTTCTCTGAACTTCATATAAACTCTTCTGACTATGCTAATGCAGATGCACTTGGTAGAGTGGTTTAAAGCCTTGATTGCTGAACAAAACTTCAGTCTTGTTGTGGATCCTAAGTTGCCTCAAATGCCTTCGCCAAAGGAACTCAAACGAATTCTGTTGATTGCTCTTCGTTGTGTAGATCGAGAGGTTGATAAGAGGCCTAAAATTGGAGATGTGATCCACATGCTCGAGCCACACGATTTGCTACTCACTGATGTAAGAGGAGGAATTCTAGCAAAAAAAAAAAAAAAATTCATGATTCAACCAATAAAAGTTTTCAAACTTAGCCTAATTCTTTAAATTTGTAGCTGATCAATCACACTACTGTTTATTCTGATGATGCAGGGGTGTATTTTGAGGCGAGAAATTTCTCGACGTAGTTTCTTAACAGAGAATTCATTGTTGCCGAACTAGGTGAGAATGCTAACAGTATATGATCTAAAGAAGAAAACCCGCAACGATTTCTATAGAAGATTCTGTAAATATGCCACCATGATCAGCACAGGTCATTGACATATCAGTTGGAGCGTATATATTATTATGTTACCGGTGCAAAGTTTTGTTTGATTCACAAATGCTTTAGTAAAACTGGTTTTAAGGGTTTTTGGTAGAGCTTACCAATTTATGGAATGCACTCCCTTAATGGGTTCATTTACCACTTTGTTGCATTTAGACATTGCAAGTGAGATGTACCATAAATTCAGATGTCTTAATTTCGAATCTTGACTGATGAGACTTTTCTGAAATACCCTATGATGAAGACACGTGTCCTCGGTTCTACTAAAGCACTGTTGCTAAGATCAAGCACCATCGGCGCACGAATGTCCTCGCTCCCAAGGTACCGTCATATAGGATCATGCATTCAGTATGTTTTACAACCGACACGTGTCCTCGGTCAGATATGTACCTCGGTCGGCAACCTCCCTCGGTCCCCGAAGATGAGCCTTTCCTCGGTACCGAGAGATACCCTCCTGGACACTTCCTCTACTCCAGGATAAGCTATTGACGTGCAGGTCATTAGCCTAGGCTAGTCTAGGCTATTCATCATGACCTCGTCTTACACAAGTAATGTCAGAACGTACTAGAATACAGAAGTCACAGCCAATAGGGGATGGACGCGTGGCATATGATATCACATCAGAGACAGACAAACCGCATGCCGTTGCTGACACGCGACTTGGGAAAGCAAACAATTAATTGCACCATTCCCTTGATGAGACCGCATTCAATGCGGTAAGGCTCGGAAATGAAAGGCAATAAATGCTCCTATTACAGAGCATTTATTGCATCCTCCCCCAGCGGAGCACATTGTACCGTCGGCATCCCGACGACCCAGTATTGATTGCTCGGGACCCCGAGCAGTTAATTAGAGAAGACATTCCTCATCAGAATCGAATGTACACGCTACCTGTGCATAATGATCACATACTGACCGCACTGACAGCAATCATGAGCTTTTAAGGTATAAATACTCCTTGCAAAAGGCAAAGCGGGTATGCAACAACAAACTCTCTACGGCAATACACACGACACACTCAGTGTTTTCTCCCTCCTCTTCCTTTCTCAAAGACTGACTAGATCGTCGGAGGGGATACGCTGGAAAACACTCCGGTGCCCTTCTAACTTGTCCTTCTTTGTTCCAGGAACCTCTGTCAGCCTTACAGGATCGTTCTTCCTTTCTCAGGGTCTCCCGTTGCCGCTCCAGGTTACCGCCGTACCTCGCAGGCTGTCCCAAGCAGCGTGTCAGATCACTCAACCGGCTCACTCGAAGTTCACTAAGGGAGAGATCTGTTTTTGTTTTTTACATTGTGCAGGATCTTGCACGCACAATCTGGCGCCGTCTGTGGGAAACGACTAATTTTCCTAGTCTTTTCTCTCTAAAGAACAGTGACCATGGTGAACACTCGACAGAAAGGGAAAGGACCCCACCAAATGAGTCTCGAGTTACAAGCTCCCTGTCATCACGGAGGAAGGGACCACACCAACACAAATAAAAGTGCCTCTATTCGGTCAAGAGGGGTTACCCCTCAAACCAGTATGGGGATCAGGTCAGGGGGATTAGCCCCCTTGGCTCGTCAGTTGGCGGAGGTGATTGAAGAAAAATTTGGTGATAGATTACGTCAGCTGGATAAGGACAATGTAAACGTCCTTAGCCGGCTCGACGAGTTTGCCGCCTCAGGCGGAGGGTCAAGGGATTCATTCCTTTCCCGTGGACTTCCCGCCCGGGAGGCGGAAACGAAGGATCTAAGAAACCACCTAGACCACAAAGCAGAAAGCTCTAGGGCCCCAAAGCGACCCAGAGCCGACGAACATCATCATGACAACCAGTCCAGGAAAGCAAGGTCATTGGCCTTGGACGACCTCCGACGAGGTTTGTCTAGACGGAGGAAGGGAGATGAATCCGAGGAGGACTCAACCCAATCCACACGACGCCCGGGGAATGAGGGGCTTACCAATGAACTCAGGAACTTCAGAATGTATCCCGTCAGGGAAGAAGTTGATCTCAGAGCCTGATTAGACTCCAGGAGAAAGGGTAAGACTGTCCAGGATGAGGCCGAGGACGAAGTCGTGCAAACACCCTTTGCGAGGGAGATCAGTGAGATGGAGGTCTCAAGAAAATTTGTCGTACCACGGTTCAAAACTTATGACGGGCGGTCCGACCCCGAAGTCCATATCAGACAGTACAAGCAGATGATGTCCCTCTATCATTCGGACCACCGGTTTCTTTGCCGAGTGTTTCCTATGAGCTTGGGGGACTCTGCGATGAAATGGTTCGAGACGCTTCCCCCAAACAGTATTGGGTCCTGGAAGGAATTGACTAGGCCGTTCCTGGCTCGATTCATTACGGGGAGTAAGCGCCCCAAAGATATTGGATCATTGTTGACCCTCAGACGGAGGGAATCCGAGACTCTTCGCCAGTACGCCATCCGATACTGGGAAAAGGTCAATGAGGTAGAAGGCTGCTCGGAGGTCATGGCAGCAGCATCTTTCCGGCTCGGCTTGGCGAGGGACACAGACCTGTACCGATCCCTGACCAAGAAGACTCCCTCTGATATGGGGGAACTGATGACCCAGATCAACAAGTACTCGAGGGTTGAGGACGAGATGAGAAGCAACAAAAGCCGAGCCCTTCAATCTAAGGAAAGGAGAAGGAGCGCAAAGATATTCCCCGAAAGGGATTGCTACTCCGTCCAGAGGGTTCGTCCAGAGGAGTTCACACTGTCTTCAAGGAACCCATCTTCAAGTTGCTCCATAAAATCAAGAACGAGCCGTTCTTCAAATGGCCGCCCAGGATGCAGGGCGACCCCTCCACCCGTGATCAAAGGGTTAGGTGTTCCTATCACCGGAATTTCGGGCATCGCACCGAAAGCTGCAGGGTGTTCAAATCGTTCTTGGAAAGCTTGGTCCGAGACGGACATTTGAAAGAGTACATAGAGCCCAGGCCGGAAGAGAGACGAGCCCCTGTCCCGACCGAGGAACTGGACAACATCATAGATGTCATTCATATATGTCCCCTGGATCGCCCCACGTCCAAGGAACTCGAGTCCGACCTCAAGAGGGTAGCCTTTACGAGGAAGGTAACCGAGGGTGATGTAGGGCCATCGAGTAAAAGGGCCAGGACGGGTGAGCTTGCCATTACATTCTCCGACGCGGATTTGACAGGCGTAGTGACCCCCCATAACGACACCCTTGTCTTAACCCTAAGAATAGGGAAATTCGATGTCAAGAGAATTTTGATAGACTCTGGAAGCTCCTCGGAGGTGATGTACTTCGAGACTTTGAAACGGATGGGCTTTGGCCTCAAAGACCTCACCAAAGTCAGGACACCCTCTCATCGGGTTCAACGGCTCCTTCGCCTTGCCCGTGGGAAAAATCACATTGCCGGTTGCCACTGGTCCCTTTACCATCGACACGGACTCTCCCTACAACGTGATTATGGGGCGAACATGGCTGCATGCGTTGGGTGCGGTGCATTCCACCTTCCACCAGAAATTAAAATTCGCCACGCCAGAAGGTATCATGGAGATCCGGGGGGACCAAGAGTCCGCGAAAAACTATTTTTATTCAGCCGTTCGAGCCGGGGCATCTAGCCAGGAGAAGGGGTGAGCGCCAGAAGAGATTATGGAAAAATAGCAATTACAGTCCGGGCGTCCAGGAATGGATGACCCCCAGATAGACCCAACTGAGCGGTCAGTGGAAGACCTCCGGAAGGTGCCCTTGATAAAAGGAGAAGAAGAGAGGTAT